TACACACACATGCATGTATATATTTAAGAAATATTTGCATGTATATATACTGTATATATTTATTTATAATTAATATAAATATTTTAAATATAAATAACACATTTTTCTTAAATATATACATGCATGTGTGTGTATTTACATATACAATTATACACAGTACACACACATATATTATGTAAACAAACTTTTATTTCGGGTGCGATTAACTAATCGTGATTAATCGGTGCCCAGCACTAAAATAAACACATGGTAAAATGTGTTCAATGCAAGTACAGAATGGAAGCTGAAAATATTATAAGAGTATCCAAAGCATTTAATAAACAAAAATGCAAGAGATGTAGAATTTAGCTGAAGTATTGCATAATAAATCAGTTTGATAGGAATCTTAGTGTCTAATCGCAGCAGTGTGTGTGTAGCTCTGATGAGGGTTATCAGATGTTTTTATGACCTTTTGACCTTTAAGACAGGACAGTAGAGAGCTGACGGGACACAGGAGACTGAGTGACCCGAGGCGGGTTTAAACGTCACCGCACACACACTAGGCCGCGCGTCTGACCCAGTTATCTGAGGTTATGGAAAATCTCGCGCACCAGATCGTGGCTAACCCATGCAGTCTGTCTTGGTCCTAATAATGCCCTTGTTATTTTTCTCCAGCTTGGGTGGAATTGCTAAAATGTAAGTATATGGAACTGCTAATTAAAGCCAAGCGCATCACAAAACACAAGCTCGTTGCCCTTTGATGTTTTAAGTCTGTGACAAAAACCCTTAGATCTTAGCAGCATTTGTCAACACTATTCTAGCATGCAAACTCGTGAAACACACTGCGACCTTAGGTGACCTAACCACGCGATACGATTCCAGCCAATCAGAAGAGCGTGTGGGCGGAGTCTCTCTGCAAGCGCACTGCACTCGCAACTAAATCAATCATAAATCACAGCCAATCAGAAGAGCGTGTGGGCGGAGTCTCTCTGCAAGCGCACTGCACTCGCAACTAAATCAATCATAAATCACAGCCAATCAGAAGAGCGTGTGGGCGGAGTCTCTCTGCAAGCGCACTGCACTCGCAACCAAATCAATCATAAATCACAGCCAATCAGAAGAGCGTGTGGGCGGAGTCTCTCTGCAAGCGCACTGCACTCACAACCAAATCAATCATAAATCACAGCCAATCAGAAGCGCGTGTGGGCGGAGTCTCTCTGCAAGCGCACTGCACTCGCAACCAAATCAATCATAAATCACAGCCAATCAGAAGAGCGTGTGGGCGGAGTCTCTCTGCAAGCGCACTGCACTCGCAACTAAATCAATCATAAATCACAGCCAATCAGAAGAGTGTGTGGGCGGAGTCTCTCTGCAAGCGCACTGCACTCGCAACCAAATCAATCATAAATCACAGCCAATCAGAAGAGCGTGTGGGCGGAGTCTCTCTGCAAGCGCACTGCACTCGCAACTAAATCAATCATAAATCACAGCCAATCAGAAGAGCGTGTGGGCGGAGTCTCTCTGCAAGCGCACTGCACTCGCAACTAAATGAATCATAAATCACAGCCAATCAGAAGAGCGTGTGGGCGGAGTCTCTCTGCAAGCGCACTGCACTCGCAACCAAATCAATCATAAATCACAGCCAATCAGAAGAGCGTGTGGGCGGAGTCTCTCTGCAAGCGCACTGCACTCACAACTAAATCAATCATAAATCACAGCCAATCAGAAGAGCGTGTGGGCGGAGTCTCTCTGCAAGCGCACTGCACTCACAACTAAATCAATCATAAATCACAGCCAATCAGAAGAGCGTGTGGGCGGAGTCTCTCTGCAAGCGCACTGCACTCGCAACCAAATCAATCATAAATCACAGCCAATCAGAAGAGTGTGTGGGCGGAGTCTCTCTGCAAGCGCACTGCACTCGCAACCAAATCAATCATAAATCACAGCCAATCAGAAGAGCGTGTGGGCGGAGTCTCTCTGCAAGCGCACTGCACTCACAACTAAATCAATCATAAATCACAGCCAATCAGAAGAGCGTGTGGGCGGAGTCTCTCTGCAAGCGCACTGCACTCACAACTAAATCAATCATAAATCACAGCCAATCAGAAGAGCGTGTGGGCGGAGTCTCTCTGCAAGCGCACTGCACTCGCAACCAAATCAATCATAAATCACAGCCAATCAGAAGAGTGTGTGGGCGGAGTCTCTCTGCAAGCGCACTGCACTCGCAACCAAATCAATCATAAATCACAGCCAATCAGAAGAGCGTGTGGGCGGAGTCTCTCTGCAAGCGCACTGCACTCACAACTAAATCAATCATAAATCACAGCCAATCAGAAGAGCGTGTGGGCGGAGTCTCTCTGCAAGCGCACTGCACTCACAACTAAATCAATCATAAATCACAGCCAATCAGAAGAGCGTGTGGGCGGAGTCTCTCTGCAAGCGCACTGCACTCGCAACCAAATCAATCATAAATCACAGCCAATCAGAAGAGCGTGTGGGCGGAGTCTCTCTGCAAGCGCACTGCACTCGCAACCAAATCAATCATAAATCACAGCCAATCAGAAGAGTGTGGCGGTGTCTCTACAATAAAAAAAAAAGTTTTTCCCCAAATCGTTCAGCTTTAGTGCACATCCACACTAGCGAGAGAGCAGCAATGAGCTTCAGAAAAGTTTGTCGAGCCTCTTTTCCAGAACCTCTCTCTGCCAGATTACAGTACTGAAGTGCGGCCAATGCCGTTTCTTTCTTTCCCCAATGCATTTTCTCAAGGTCAGCTAACTATAAACTTCATCGCTTTTATGTGTTGTCCCTTCCTCATGATCGATTGCATCGGAAGGGACATTTGGGGATCATTGCAGTGGCAAATTTGTTAGTGCATCCTTTTTTTTTCTTTTTTAAGTGTTGCTCACGACAGTCTGGCCTGCAGTGGCTGGTGTTCATGGCTCCCTCTCTCAGCAGCACTCAATGCGCATTAAAAGCGAGCGCATTACTCAGTTATGGATTATATCAGCAGATTTCACACGTCTTCTTCTGGGAATCAAGACCAGACCTGATGTACGTGACGTGCTGAGAGGGAACACTGTCTCTCATTCATCATTAGCCGCGTTTCCACTGTCTGGCCAGTGCTAGGCCAG